TGAGATTGCAATCATTATCTCTGAACAAGAGACAGATTCTCCTATCATGGGGAAAAAAAAATCATAACTTTTCTTAGTCTGTTTAAGAAGCTAAACCAGACAATGTAGACTGAGTGGCTGAAAGAATAGGGAATTATTTTCCACTGTTATAGGTGAAGTTAGAGATCAGAGTGTCATACACATGGTGCTGAGTGAATTCCTGGTCTGCAATTTTTGCATGGTGAAGAAAACAAGCTCTGTAGTTAGTTTCTCTGTTTTTGTATAAGGACCCTGATCCTGCCAAAGGGACTCCACCCTCAAGATCTCATCTAATCCTAAGTATCTGTCAAAGGCCCTAACTCTAATACTATCATGTTGAGAATTTACATCTTTAATTTTAGGTGGAGCTAAACACGTTTCATAGGAACTAGAATTGGAGATGAAGTTGGTGATGCATTGAGAAAGGGTTATCTTAAAGTTGTTAAAGACCTGGAAAGTACTTCTGTAGATTTCAGTGCCAAAAGGGAAAGAAATAATTGTTAAATTTTATTTTCCAAAAATATCTTTTAATGAATTTTATTTTCAAAGGAAACTTAATTCTCAGTTTGAAGTAGAAGTCAGTGGGAAATTTACTATATACATTATTTAACTGTAATAAAAGGTAGTTATTTCAACTCTAAATCTTTTCCTGTTTCTGGAATGAAACAAGTTTTTAATTTTCCTATTATACTTTAGGCTTTCAGCTAATTAAAATTAAAACCCTGTAATATTTTTTGTTGGTATTACTGAAAAGTGTGAAATAGGTTTACTGTATGTTTCTATTTCTTAGAAGCTAATTTGAGTCAAAGAGCAGAATCAAAAGCATATGCCAGTTTTATGATCCAGTTCTTAGTTCCATGGCTTTTTTTTTGTGGTTACTGGGGATTGAACCTGGGGACTTTGTAGTGAGTTATGGCCCAGCCTTTCTTTTTTTTTTTTTTTTTTTTTGAGAAAAAGGCTTGCTAAATTGCACAGCTGAGGCTCGAACTTTTGATCCTCCTGCCTTAGTCCCCCCGAGTGCTAGGATTATACATAACTGCCACCACACCTGGCTACAATTTTTTTTTTTTTTAAATACAGGCTCTTGCTTTGTAGTGCAGGCTGGCCTCAAATTCAGGTTACTGGGATTATATGTGTGTGCCATCACACCTGGCTAAATGCATATTCTTGAGAGGATAATTTTGTATACAGTATTTACAAATGTTGAATCCTAGTGCATGTTTAAAATACGAACAAGGAGTAAAGGGTTCTCGAAGGATGTTTCCTTTTTTATTGATGATTAGTTTTATTATTGGAATCTCCTTGCTATGCCAAAAATGTTACCTGGTAGCGTCTAAAAGTGGTTCGCCATTTAAATGTTACCAGATTCTGGGTTAGTCGTCTCTCTTCTGAAGTTAAATTCCAGGTTCTTCCCTCCAACAAAGAATTGAATGAAGGAAACAAAAAGCAGGGCCAAGTTTATTCAAGGAAGTAAAAGTGAAGAATGGGGGAGAAACTGACTCTTCACAGTGAGCTTGGGCCTAGGAAAAGAGGAAAAAGCAAGACAAAACAACATCCTGGAGAAAGCAGGGTGGGCTATCCTGAGGAAAGCCCAATACCATGCTTTTCTTGGTGTGTGTGTCCTTTTACGATGGCCAAATCTTGAGGAAACCTGTGAGAACTTCAATATATGTGTCCTATGAGGCGGTGCTGGGTCCCATGCCTTAGGCTGATGTCAGATCTAGGCATCCTATTGAAAACCTGCTGGAGTTGCCAGGGAGAAACCCAAGTGCAGGGCTTTGGGAACTGTTCCGCGCATGTGTCCAGGATCTTGTACTTAACAGGTCTCGCCAACTTTCCCAGCCATCTTTGCCACACCCTTACACAGAATCACCCTAATCACAGAAAACTGAAATAATCTTAAACTTTTAATTAGTTTTATTGGTACATTTTAGGTATACAATGATATTTATTGTTGGAAATTTATACCTTTTCATAATCTATCTTGGTTATTTTTCCCCATTCCCTTGTCCTCCCTTCAAATCCTCCACCTCTCCCTATTTACAAAGACTTTGTTTCCATTTTTTCATTTTCTCATATTAATTCCATTCCCTTCTTTCCTTTTCCTAGCCCTCCTACATTCCCTACCCCTTTGCCCCTTTTCTTCCTAGTTCACATAATCTATTATACCTTTTAGTCCTTATTTACACTTTCACTTTCTCACGCCAGAGAAACTGGTCTGTATTTACACGTGTGTCCTTTTTGTTTCACTTAAGAGTACTGCTCAATGTGCATCCACTTAACTATAAATGTCTCTAGTTTCTTGTTCTTTATGGCTGAGTAGTACTCCATTTTATAAATAAAACTACATTTTCTTTATCCAGTCTCCAGTTGATGGACAATTGGGCTGTTTCCAACTTTTAGCTATTACAAATTGGGCTGCTATGAACATGCACATATATCACTGTGGTATGATTCTTTTAATTCTTTTGGGAAGATACCAAGAAGGGGAATAGCTGGGTCAAAAGGGACTTCTAATCCTAGTTGTTTGAGGTATCTCCATACTGATTTCCACAGTGGTTGCACCATTCTACACTCCCATCAACAGTAGAAAAGGGTTTCTTTTTCTCCACAGCCCAGCCAGCATTTGTTACTGATTGATTTCATGATAGCTGCCATTCTTTCTGGGGTGAGATGGAATCTCAGCATTGTTTTCATTTGTATCTCTCAAATGACCAGTGATGTTGGACATTTTTTCATATGCTTAGGTGCTATTTCTACTTCTTTGTCTGAGAAATGTCTGTTCATTTCAGATGCCCATTTTTAGATTGGGTCTTTAAATTTGGGAGGTCTGATTTTTTTTTTTTAGTTCTTTATATATTCTAGATAGTAGACCTTTGAGGAACAGCTGGTGAAAATTTTTTCCCACAGTGTGGGTTGTCTCTTCACACTGTTTGGTGGTTTCTCTTGCTGTGAAGAAGCTTTTTAATAAGAAGAGATCCTGCTTGTTGAATAATATTGTTACGGAAGGAATCAGTAAGTGACACACAGAGAGGCAGCAGAATGGAAGTAAAATAATACATTTTCTTATCAATAAGGGTCGATTGCACATAAGCCATGCCTGGATCGACAACACACTGGATTACAACTCCTCCTTTTATAGGGTTTTACAGCCTTGACTTCATTTGGGTGGTTACGTTTCATTCTCACAGTTCAAATTACGGTCACAGAATAGTTAATCTTTTCAACCCAGAAGTGACAGTTCTTTGCAGTTGGGGAGTTTACCTTTAAGGTTTGCCTAGTTCTAGCCCATAGGAAGGGGGTGTTCAGGGTCAGGGGAGCAAATGTTGGCCATGGGTTCTTTTATTTAGACACTGTTGTGGCCATGTGGCTTCAGTGTCTGGGAGCTCAAGACCTTGCTGTGCCCTGTTATCTCAGTGTCAGACCAAATGCCTCAGTCAGCAATTAGTGCCTTCAGTGCCTATTAGTTCTAAGCTAAACAAAGCAAACTGCTGTGAGAGACAGCAGAAGTCATTTTATATTGTAATATTTTATAGGCTTTTTGTTATTTATAAAAGTTTTACCTATCAGTTTTTTAGCTTGCTTGCTTTATTTATTTATTTATTTGGAGTCAGGATCTCACTATGTAGCTCAGGCTGGCCTCGAGCACTTGGCATTCCTTCTGCCTCAGCCTCTCATATGCTGGGATTACAGGCATGCGCCACCATACCTGGCAACAATCTCAATTTTAGAAGTTTCTTGTCAGAGGTGATGTATTTCATCCAGGGCTGAATAATTTAATGGATAATTTGCATAGGCCAAAGATCTTTTCTTGTCATAAGAAAAATTAATTCATGATGCCCCATGACTAAAGAGAATACTATCAGGGGAAAAAAAAAGGGACAGAAGTACTTTAATTAAATTTTTAGATCTTATTTATAATAAGAACACTGTCATCATTTTGTACTTGTAGCTGAAATAAATACTTAGTTACCATCTGTCTTAGTTACTTGTTGCTGAGACAATATACTGGACACCGAAAGTTAGAGGAGGAAAGGCTTATTTCAGATCATGGTTTGTAGAGGTTTCAGACTGTAGTGGGCTGGCTTCAAGGTGGGACAGCATGGCACAGGGTCATGGCAGAGGAGATATAGTCTATGGCAAAGTGGACATGAGACAGAAGCAGCAAGCAGCAGCAAGCCTGTTTTCCCTGTCTCCCTTTATATCCCATCCAGGCTATAAACCTATTGATTGGTGTCACCCACCTAAGTCCCAAGGGTGGGACTTCCATTATTCACACCCTTACTCCAGTATCACACACCCTAATTCAGCCATCTTTCAAACTCTGCTCCTTGACTGCATGAGGCTCTGGGGGGACATACAGATAAAAGCCATCACACCATCGTAACATTGGGTCAGTGCTTTTGAGGATAGGTGAAGTAAAGTTTCCTATTCTTAGCATTATATATCACATACAGGATGTGATCATTACTTGCATGTTGGTTGATTTCTCATTTGAATCTGCAGCTTGAGTGCAGTTTTCTTTGTGTCAAATAAAAACCCCTTTGTAGCATTAATCACAGATATAGTACTTAGTGAAGGTCATCTTTGCGAAGATAATGTTCTTTCCAGACACTTAACCAAACTCAAAATGGCTTTTCTGTGATTTAAGAGTGAGTTTTATACCAGGATCCACACTTGAAGATTACCTCAGTAGCTGTCTCTGGCTTGTATATTCAGGAGTACTTAACTGAAAAGTCCATACTTCTGGTGTAGTTAGGTTAATACTTGTAGTTGTAACCTTGATGGTCACAGAATTTGTGTGGAGGAAAATATTAAAGGTGCGTTTCTAGTGTATTTTTGCATATTTTATGAGTAGTTTGAAAAATCTGAAAAATTGGGCTTTGTTATAAATTGATAGAGTAATAATTGATAAAAATATGGAGGTACCGGTGGAAGCTTCAAATTCATAGATCACTAATTAAGTATATTTCCCTGTGCAGGTATAATCTGGCCACCTGAGCTTCTGCCGTAACAAGAAAGAAGTGGGAAATACTCCTGAAAAGAAAATTAAAACATTAAGAAGCCACAACTTATTTTTACATGGTTTTTAGCTCACTTACCAATATGAACACTTATCCTAACATTTTTCCACCTGGTGGAGATGGTGGGCTAGGTTCTGAATCTGAGTTCCAAAAACTGGTAATTGATGAAAGGTTACGATGTGAACATCATAAAGCCAATTATCAGACTCTAAAAACTGAACACACAAGGTAAGTTACTTCAATTAGAGGTGAGGCATAGTAGATATGTTGCTAAATAAAGTTACTAGAACTCTCTAGGCTAAATGTTTGCTCTGGAACATAGAGTATAACTTTGTCATTTTGCATTGTATTAATCCTTTTAATAAGTAAAATTGTTGCTTTAAAATTTTTTTGTTTTAAAGCTTTGATATCAAGTGAATCTAAATATATCCAGGTGGCTAAACATGTTTTTCCCCTCAAAGTAAAACAGCTTTCAGAAACTACGGTATGCAACTCTATAAAGATATTTACAAGTTTAATGGAATGTGAGGTAGCAGTCTTGTTTTTCTACAGTGTTGGTTGACTTTACATAAAGTAATACAATTAGAAAGCAAAGGATACACTTCAAATTGAATTTTCTTTTAAAAATCAGGTTGCAGGATGAGTACATAAAGTTACAAAATGAATTGAAGCACCTGTCAAATGAAAAACAAACTAACCAGGAAAAGTTCCAGCTGCTACTTGAAGACCTAAGAGGGGAATTAGTAGAGAAAACTAAAGACTTAGAAGAAATGAAACTGCAGGTGAGAAAGTATATTTGAGTTTGTATAAAATAGTTAGTGGAAGTAAGTAGTTTAGATTCTCTATATTTAATGATTATTTTGCTGTATCTCCAGTTGATATAATGTAATCTTTCATATATTCTATGTATAGTGGCCATGAAACTTATTTTTGTGTAAATTGGAATTATATTGCCTGCTGTACTTAAATATTTCACCACTCAGAATAATTAGGGGAAAGACCAGTTGAACTTTATTATGATTCAGAATTAAAGAATTTTTTAAAAAGAAAGACGTAATACTTTTTTTTTTTTTGTCTTGAGACAGGGTCTCACTATGTAGTTCATGCTGGCCTTGAACTCATGTGCAGCCTATGCTAGCCTTGAACTCCAGGTGATCCTCCTGCCTCAGCCTCCTAATTTACTGGGATTATAGTTGTGTGTCACCATGACCAACTAATTTTTATATATGTATTACAACTGAAACTGTGCTAAAAAAGATTGATAGTTATTTTTAAATTGTTTCTTAAAAGAAATTGTAAAAACAGTATGTACACATGATTTTTGTGCATACTACAAATGGATTTCTAAAGCAAATAGTTTTTTTTTTTTTTTAAGGGAGGAAAGGTTTATTTGAGCTCACAGTTTCAGAGGTTCCAGTCCATGGCCACTGGGCCCCATCATTTTGTTTTTTTTATTATTTTTTTTTTCAGTTTTAATTGAGTTTATTGGTGCATTTTAGGGATACAGTACAGTTACATTCATTGTTGGGATCTTGTACCTCTACATGACATGTCTTGGTTCTCATTTTTTCCACTTGTCCCTGCCCTCCCTTCACCCCCTCACCCC